CCTTTGAGAGCAAGTCAGATGACGTCACTGCTCTGCACACAGCACACAGAGTACCCAAGTTCTCATGGTCACGTACAAGGCCCACGGCAAGCTGGCCTCCACTCCCATCACCTCTCTGAGTCCATGCGTCACTACACTTCTCCCATGGGCCACACCCCCACCTCAGGGCTTTTACACTTGCTGTTCCATCTGCACATTCCCTCATGACCCCGTGAAGTCTTCTCTGATCCTATGCAAAGTGCAACCATCCATCCACCCTCTACCCCTCACTGATGCTTTACTGCTTTAATTTATGGCACTTATCACCAATCTAACTTATTATACATGCATTTGCTTATTTGTTTATTGCTCATCTCCTCCATGAAGGCAAGGATTTTTACCTCTTTTGTTTACCTCCATTTTCCCAGACTAACACAGACTAGGGATTCATGGTGAATGAATGATTGAATGGGCCTTGATGTCATCCCCTAATCCATGATGAAATGTAAAAGTTAGGTTCTCATTGTGAGGTCCCAAAGCTCAACACAGATATTTCCCTGGATCTGGATTCATCCTTTATTCCTGCTTCACAAAGAGGTATCTCACTTCCTGCTTGAGTCTAAATCAGCCACCTGGGCTCCTAGGCCTATATCCCCTCTTACCTCCTTAGAGACCTTATTCTAGCAACTTCTTTCTTTCTCTTACACTCTTTTTTGTCTTTCTTTTCCCTCCATATTCAACCTCGGCGTCTCCTCTAAAAACATTCTCATGCCTCTTAAATTTACACACACAAAAATAGGCTCTCAATATTTTGTTACCCTCTTTAGCCACTGTCGTCTTCCCTTTTATCACACAACCACTTGAAAGAATAGTTGACATCTTGTCTGGGCGGCCTCTCCACTCCCTCCTCACTCCTGCAGTCTGCTTCTGGTCACTCTCTATATGCCTTTGAAAATCCTTGGGGCCACCTCATTGGCAAGCCCAGTGAGCTTTTCCCAGTGCTCCTCTTCATGATCCCTCCGCGGTGAGACTGTGATCCCCCCACCCCTCCTCCTGGAAACCCTTTACTGTCTTGACTTCCGTGGTGACCCACTGTCCCTGTCTTCTCTCACTGTCTTGGACATTCCTTCTCAGTTGCCTTCCTCTCTATTCTTCCTCATGGCCTTTTCATCCTATGTTCTTTTCTCTCCATGCCCCCTGACCTAGAGACCTCATTCATGCCCAAAGCTTTGACCTGCATCTTTGTGAGGATGACTCCAAAATCAATAGTTCTTTCTGCTCTTTCAAGCTCCAATTCCAGATGTACAGCTGCTTCCCATGCATCCCTACTACATGCAGCCTCCACCTTCACCTCAAACTCAGCCTATGGGACACTGGTGTCTTCATCTTACACAGCACCCACGTGTACTCCTAACTCTTGGCTTGTTCGTGGAACTAGCAGCCTGCCCCTATTCATGGAATCTCAGAGTCACCTTTGATGTCTTCCTCTCCTTCACCCACTACATCCAATCAACTTGTAAATGCATTGGTTCTACTCCTACGACATCCTTGGCACCTGTCTCTTCTTTTTCATCTCCACAGTCAGCACCTTAATGCAATCCCCCAACCTAGTCTACCAAAGAAGCAACTCCATCTCCTAACTTGAAGTCTCCTATTTTGCATCCTTCCTGCCCAGATCCACCAGCTACATCTTCCTAAATTTCAGCTTTGATCATGGCTTTCTCCTGACTAAACACAGTCATGGTTTCCTACATTGCCACTAGGTAAGATTCAAGCCTCTTAGTCTGGTATTTTTAAGACCAACCAGGGGCAGGTCCTAGGCTACTCTTGACCTCTCACACTACCTAAATGCTCTCAATTTACTATATCCTTCACACACTTCTGCTTTCCCGTCTTCACTAAAAGCCCTCTCTCTCCTATGACCTCACCCACTTTCAAACTCTTACTCATCTTCCAAGGCTCTATTTAAAGCCCACACTCAACACACTCCTCAATCTGTCCAGCTGATACAGATCTTTCCTTTTTCTTCATTCCCACAGAACTTTCTCCACGTCTCACTTATTAGGAATGACTTCATTTTAAAGTTCCAGCTCTTTCTCCTCTTACTAAACACCAGACTGCTCAAGGGTAAGATGCACATCTGATTTCCCACATGCATTGAAACCTGTACATCCACAGACATCTGAGATCGGTCCAGTCACTTAATCAGGATCATAGGATAACGTGAGCTCAACGACTCTGGCTCCTATTTCTTTTTCTTGTCTTATTGCACTGGCTAGGATATCCAGTACAATGTTATACGATAGCAGTGATAGAAGGCATGTTTATTTTGTTCCTAGTGTAACAGGAATGCTTCTAATGTTTCACACCAAAGTGTGATGCATGCTATAGGGTTCTAGTACCTACCCTTTATCAAGTTAAGAAAACTACCCTATAGGGGCGCCTGGCTGGCTCAGTCGGTTAAGTGTCTGACTTCAGATCAGGTCATGATCTCACAGTTCGTGGGTTCGAGCCCCGCATCAGGCTCTGTGCTGACAGCTAGCTCAGAGCCTGGAGCCTGCTTCATATTCTGTGTCTCCCTCTCTCTCTGATTCTCCCCTGCTCACGCTGTCTCTCTCTCTCTCTCAGAAATAAATAAAAACATTTAAAAATTTTTAAAAAAAGAAAACTACCCCTATATTCCCTGAGATCCAAGCTAAAATAAGATATAAGGACTTGTTGGATCAAAGTGGAATGAGTCAGGGATATAGTATTAAGGTACAGAGGAGGTATTGGGCCAAGGAAGAAAAGGAATACCTGTGGGAGAAAAGCCAGGAGAAACCAGATCAAGTTCATGGCCATGAAGAGGCTCTCCCTCAGATCTAAGCTTCCTGAGTTACTCGTGCTGAAGCTTATGTTCCAGCTTCTTGCAGAAGAATATAGAAGCAGGAAGAGGTGGTTCTGGTCTATTCCTTGACTCCCATCCTGTTGTACACAAGGATCCTGCCACTGTGTCTTTACCTACACATGTACTTCAGACACTCTGCAGGGCTACTGAGGAAGCTGTGCAAACAGGGCTTGCTGACATAAGAAATACTCTCATGATGGGGCATGGACCAAAGAGGTCCCCCTTCATAGCCCTGGCGACCAAATATATCTTTCCTCTCTATATTTCTCCTCCCTTCTCTGATTGAGTCACTCACAGTTGGTAGAGAAGATTAAATTAGGGCTGGAGACAGAGATACTATACCAACATCTCTCCCTTCCTATGACTCCTTGGCAGCCAAAGCCTGAGCAACTAAGCGTATGGATGTTGACAGTCAACACCTCAGAAGCTGGCAGGAGAGAAAAGGCTGAGGGGAGATGCACTATAAGATGAACATAGTTCTGGAGCCATTAAGATATGGTTTCCTTTAGAGCAGGCTCCGATAGAGCTACACAACAGGGTTTTCTGGTGGGGGAGGGGAGGGAATTCATTCTGTTTCCTCAGAGAATCTGCCCCCAGATCCAGCCCATCACTAGGCTAGAGTGTTATCCTTCATCAGTCCACCTCAACTCCATAAAATATTAAGAGAGCCACATTCCTCTCCCTTTAACAAAATCTAGGACAAAGAAGGCGGGGGCCTTATCTCAGGGGCCCAGATGTGGGACAAAGCAAAAGACAGCATGTCACTTAAAGCATTTCACTTCTAGAGTGACAGAGCTACCCATCCTGTGTCTTGACTCTCCACGAAAAGCAATGATGTTCTCGTGGACTGGTTCCCTAGGTGAGGCAAAACTCTGATTACCAGTTTCCATGGTGTAAATACTTTCATCGTGGCCAATCTCAAGTTGCTGGAAGTGGAACTGGGGCCTGTGCTCCACTCTGAAGTACAGCAGGGCATCTATGCCCCCACGCTCAGATCCTGGACCCAACCCAACAGCCAGCTGGTCTGCCCTCAGCTACTTCCCCAAACCCACTGTCCATCCCCAGGGAGGGTGTCTCCCCGTCTTGCTACAGTTGGCATGGTGACTCACCTTCCCCTAAATTTAGGGAAAAGGGTGGAGGGCACAGTCAGCTGCCCAGGCTCCTCTTCTTCTCCCTGAGTTGCCACCACCCTGTCAGCTGAAGGGCTTGGCACAAGGTCCCGTAGCCCCAGTCTCTAGTCCACCCCTGCCCGGCCTTACCTCCACAACTGAAAAAAGCAAAAAACAAAAAACCCCACATGATTTCCCACCTAGTTTGGCTGTCCCCGTAGAACGGTCATAGGCTCAGGCCAATATGGCTCCCAACATGGCCCTGCACACATCACCTTTTCTTGTCTAAGCTCTCTGGTCATCCCATTCTCTCTCCTCTCTCCAGAAAGATAAGCCCCTTCTCTGATAGGAAATAGAGCTTTGTTTCTCAGTGCCTGCTTCTCACACAGAGAAGGTCCAAAAGCAAGGACTAATTGGACAGTTGAACAAGAAAGGGGACCTCGGCCTCCCCACCAAAATGAGACATATCCTGCAAGGACCCACCAGGGTTGAACACTTGGGTAGAGCCCACGGCCTCTAGGACATCCTTCCTATCTCTGTCATGCCTCTGAGTCTGCAAAGGCCTCCCTCTGCCTTCTCCACACCTTCCCCCAGGAACTGAGGACTGTGGGTCTTTGCAAAGAGCATCTTCTCTCTGCACAGAAAATCTGTGCTCCAGCCCCAAAGGCACCATTTGCTGGAAGCTTTCCCTGATTGCCCTAGGTGGTAAGCCTTGCTTTCCCTCCAGTTCTGGGAGTTCGGTCCCCACCTCTGTCAGAGCACACTTTACACTCCTGTGTCCCTGTCCCCTAACTAGACTGCAAACTCCTTGAAAGACACTGATCTTTGAACCTCAATGGCTGGCTTACAACCTAACAGTCGATGAATGTAGGAAGGGATGTCTAGCCCCTCCCCGGGTCAAAGCAGCCCTTGCCGAGGGATGACGGTTGTGCCTACACCTCCCCCTAGCAAGACCAACCAAGACCAAAGAGGGAAGGAGGGACCAGGAGGGGATTCCTAGGACTGATGGTCCATGAGGCACTTACCTGCTACCCGGTGGGCCACCAGCCCCTCCAAGTTCAGCGGCTCCTCCTCTGGAGTGCGGGAGGGGTCTGAAGTCGCCTCCTTTGGTGGGAGCTGAGGCTGAGCAGTGAGGCCAGGGAGAGAGGCTGGGGGCTGCTGAGGCCCCGGAGGGCTATGGGTAGTCGGAAGGAAGGCAGACGAGGAAGACGAGGAGGCTGGGCTCTTTGGACGGAAACTCTGGTTGGGCCCGCCTGGACATGGCTGATAATCATAAGGTGAGTAAGCCCTGCCAGGAGGGAAGGACTCCAGGGAGGCCCGTGGAGCCGGCTCAGAGGTTCCCAAGGAATGCCCACTGGGGATGTAGCCAGATCTGGACTGGGTCAGTGGATGGGGCTGGCAGGAGGAGCTGGAGAGAGGCTGGGAGGACAGCGGGGAAGCCCCTGGCCAGGCCCCCGGGACACTCTGGGACTTGTGAAGGGGGACACCAGCTGTGGCCGGCTCCAAATCCAGCATGAGCATGTTGAGCGTTTCGATGGACTGTTCGATCTCCTGCTGGGAGGCGGCCCTTGGGAACTCAGGGAGGCCAGGGACGGGGGTCTCTGCCAGTGGCTGGGGGCTGGGCCTGCTGGGCCCGAGACTCTCCAAGTGGGCTCTCTCTTGCTGGCGAGGAGGTGGGCGAGGCTGCGGCTGCTGCTGCTGCTGCTGCTGCTGCTGCTGCTGCTGCTGCCAGGAATTCAGGCCCCTCTGCACAGCCTCCCGGCTGCTGCCCCCGCGGGCTGGAGCCTGGGGCAACTGGGGCTCTGCTTCCGGAAAGGACTGAGAGCGGAACATACCGCTGGGGTCATGGCCATAGTGGGAGGTGGTCGTTGGCTGCAGCCAGGCTGGGTGGGGCCCTTCCCGCTGGTAACCAGCTAAACCCTCCTGTGCGGAATAGGAAGGCCGCATGGGCACCGTGTGGCCAGCACGGGCAGGCAGCGCCCGGGTGGCAGACTCATAGGCATAGCCCCCACCATTGACCATAGGTTCCACGGGATAGGGCTTGTCCAGACCGTTGGTCAGTGAGGACAGGGTCTCTGGGTAGCCCCCCTCGCTGGTGTTGGTGACCCCATCCAGGGAGGACAGTGTACCCATGCTGCCCACGCTGTGCCCATCCTGGTTGGGCAGCTCATCATCCAGGATGTCCGTCTCCCGCTCAGATGCCAAGGCCCCACCGTTGACGTGAACCTGGGCCGGGACGACATGGCGGCCGGGGGAGGGCACGGCAGGGCCCCCCGCTGGGCGGGACCGGAGATGTTGGGGATGGTACATGGCGCCTTGCTTCTCTCTCTCTACGCCAAAGCCACTGAGCAGACGGTCCAGCTCCCGCTTCTCCTCGGGACTCAGGGCAGCAGGGGCACTGGAGGGGCCGGGGGCAGGCTCATCGGTCTTGTCTGTCTTGGTGGAGGCTGTGGAGTTGCCGGAGTCACTGCTCACGGAGAGGGTGTGCTCTACGTGGTTGGGGGTGGCCGACAGGACAGGACGCGTGGCATTGACGGCCCCAGTACTGCCGTGCAGGGAGTCTTTCTTCTTCACCTTGGCATACAGGCTCCCGTCCAGAGGCCCCTGAGTGTGTCCCACCACCTCTGTAAGAGAATCACAGGGGAAACAACGATCAGCAGATGTCAGCGGGAGGCAATGACATCTCCTCTTCTCCCCAAGGAAAGAGTGAAGAGCTTCCATTCCCTGGATCCTAAAATCTCCTCGCATCACCCGAGATAGAGCTAAGGTCAGAGGATGTGGGGGAGGACAGAGAGACCCCTATCCCTGGATTTTGGGCCCCAACACCAGGCTTCAGGGCCAAGTGGCGAAGTCTGAGACTGGGTGGGGTGTTCTGGGAGCACGATGCCCCAGTCCAAAGCCTGGCTCTGGTATTTCACAGCTTCCCAAAGACCTAGAAGTTCTGGGTCAAGATGGAGTTCAGCAAAGCCAGCACTCCCCATGTCAGATGGGACGTGTTTTCCCTCTGGAAACTGGGCTCACGGGCTTCTGGAAAGGGGGCTCAGGGAAACATCTTAGGGATCCAGAACACAAAAGTAGATGTTCTCATCCGGGAGTGGTGTCCCCTGTGTCATTTTGTCTGCACACAGCTCTGGCGACCCCATGAGCAATACTTTCTCTGAAAGGAAAGAATGAGCGCTGGGTGGCTCAGGGCCAAAGGGCTGACTCAGGAATGAAGAACTTCCCCACCCAACGGGACTCAGTGACTTCACACCCTGTACAGTCAGTGGCCCAGCTTCCAGCCCTGACACACACGCACACTCACACACACCTCCCTTCCCCTTCATCCAAGGCAGGCCCCCAGTTGGCAAGAAAAGAGAGTTCCCTCCCAAACGCTGCACAAACTCCAACCAGACACCACCAGTCACACACACACACACACACCGTCCACACAGGAAAACCAGACACAAAGACATCCAGACACACATGCCAACTCCTAGCCACCCAAGTCAAACACCCTATGCACTCCTGGGGTACACTAGAGGGGTGACCTCGAGGTGCCAAACACCTCACTAGGCACTTTACACATACATTCTGTATAGTCCCGTGAACCCGCGAGTTTTACGCCTACTTTAAAGATGGGAGAAATTGAGATTCACAGTAGTGAAACCATTTAGGTGCAGATACACAGTACCTGGTAAAGCTAGGATTTACAGTCAGAGAACTCATTTAAAAGTTAATTAAAATACAACTAAATTAAAAGCAAAATGAAAGTAAAATCTGAACTTCAAAGACCATGCAATTTCTACTATTCCACACTCTCATATCACGCGTGCACGTGTGCACGCACACGCACACACACACACACACAGAGTAAATTAAACACATAAAAGGCAGCAATACCCCAAAATAAATAACATAAATTTAAAGCCACAATCATTTGAAAAAATACAAGCTCCTACCCGGCCCAAGGATCAGCCCTCAGGCCAGAAGTGGTAGCCTCTAAAAATAAACACTCACACAGAAGCCCACGGCCAAAAAACAAGTGATCAGACAACCACAAAACAGGAACATCCTGATCAACACACACACACACAAACCACAGGCCAACCAGATGATGTCACCGGGAGCAGGCACAGAGATGCCGGCAGGGCACACCATCCACACACACATACACACACCCCCAGGGGCTTGGATGCTCTGCCCATTTGCTTAGTTCTCCAGCACCATCTCTCTGTCCCCCGTTTTCCCTGGGGCTCCGGGACCTTGGCCAGCAGCAGGCCCCAAGTGAGGCCGGGCCAGAGTGTGGCCACAGCCCTGGGCTCACAGGGATGGGGCTGGTCTGAATCAGAGATAGGTCTGAATCTCCAGCCATCCTCTCCCTGTGCGGGGACCCATAATAGTTGCTAAGAGGCAGGTACAAGCATGGCCGCCTCTTCCAATGGGTCTGCCACTGTCCCTAAAGGTGTTGAAGCTACTGAAGAAGAGAGGCTGCCCTTCATGCCATGTTCTTCTAAAGAAGTGGGCTCCTGGCTACACCAAATAAGAGACCCCAGCTGACTGCTTCCCTAGGGGAAAAGCATTGAAGACAAGGGTCCTGCTCAGATTTCCAGGGGTGTTGCCCGTGAGGGTGGGCCCCTCGCACCAGTCAGTGGGAGGCTGAAGGGCTGTCCTCCCTTCTCACTGAGTCTGGAAAGCTGCTGGCCCCAGGGAAACAGCCCCATTACGGGGCCCTGACCCCATTCTGTGGCTCACACTGCACGATGCCAGTGTGTGCCTTCCGGGCCAGGGAGCCCCTCCATCCCCTGCAACTCCGAATCCCCCAAGTCTGTGCTCATGTGGTCTGGGAGGTGGGGGGAACAGCAAAGCAAAGGGCAGTATGTCCAATACACTCCCCATTTGCACTTAGGGTCGATGAGAACTGCTGGGTGCAAATCAGTGCAAACCTGTAGGTACCCTTTCCTTCGGGGAGAAAGTAGACCCATGCCTGCATCTCACTCGGGTTCATAAAAGAAGAGCATTTGGCAAGAGAGCTAAAAAAAGTGTTCCCGGAGGCAGGGAGGAAGAGCTCACACTAATTACCACTACCTGATACCGCGTCCCTTTGGCCCCTTCATCGATCCTGACAATGTCAATATTAAGCTCATTCTGCCATGTAATCTACCCCCACATGGTCCACTGTTTGCAGCAACATCAGGAATGGTAACTGCCAGGCCACTGAGGCTGAGTGAGAAAACGGAAGAAGTATAAATTGTTTAACTAAAATCTCCTTCGCAAAGAACAAGTGGAAACATCTATTCCTGTCTTCCAAGAAGAGGCCCGCTGCTCTTTACCACCCAGTGCTGGCCACAGGCTCCGGGCTTTGCCGCACCTTCCCTGGCCTTCCTTTTCCTATCAGGGGGAGACGGTGAGGATGCCCAGGCCCATCCCAGCTCTGTCTAGCCCCCATGAGGGCTCTGCGGAAACCCCAGCATGTCAGCATGACCCCAGCCGAGGCACGTACCTCTGTTCCTTCTATTGGAGATGAAGTGCCCCCCCTGCACCCCATGCCCGTCATTCCCTTCTGTGCATCCACTGTGGCTGCGTTAAGTGCTATTTAGCAGGACCACAAGAAGCCGGAACACAGCGCTGGTTTCAATCTATTAAGGCAGGAAGGGCAAAAGAGAGAGGCGGGCAGAGTAAGGAGGAGGGTGAAATGGAGAGCCGGAGGAGAGGGGTTTTAAGAAGGTGAGGGGAGATGGCTTTGAGGCTTTTAACCTGAGGGGCCACTAGATCCAACTCACAGTCCCAGCAGCCTCTGGGGGCAGGACCAGTTCAGGTAAATCCTCTCAGGTGAGAGGGTGTTGGGCACCCAGGGGCAGGGGACAGTGGACAGAGGAGGAACCTGCCTGGTTGGGGCCAAGGGGACAGGAGGAACCTGTCACTGGCATGGGTGACGATGGAGCAGAGGCTAAACTTCAGGGGAAACACAAGTTACAAGCAGCCCAGAGTGGAGAGCCCCTGGCCCCAAGGCCAAGCCAGCCAGAACGTCCTGTTCGTGGGCCGTCTCCCTGGCCATTGCTCTAGGGAAGCCGAGAAGCCCACAGTCCCTTCAAGGCCCCACTCGCGTTGTCTGACTATGTCTCCTGGCTCTCTCCAGCAGCTGCTCCGAACCCGCGCTCCACCCTTGACGTTGAGCTTGATCGGACCAAGAGGCCCTTATTCCACAGTGGCCGTAATCCAGATGTGCAAGTCATGCTTTTGGAAAGCTCGGAGGAAAATCCCCAGCTGACTTGGATGTGGACCTACTCCCTAGGCTCCCGCCAGCAAACCGCAGAGGTGTGCATGGTGCTGGAAGCTCAGACCAGGCCAGGCTGCAGGGGAGGAGGGACGCATCCATCCCATACACTTCAAACAGAATGAAAGAAATATGGGTGCAAAGGTGATATGGGTTTAGGGCAGGTATTTCCCAATTTTGATGTTCATAAGGCTCTCCTCCAGGGATTGTTAAAAAAAATGTAGATTCTGGGCCCCCACCCCCAAAGATTTTCACTCATAGGTCTGGGGTGAGGCCAAAAAGCAGCATTTTGGCTCTCCCAAGGTTCTGGGGCTCGCATAGGTGGATAATATCTTGGGGAACCCGGATCCCGGTGGTCAACACTTTGGACTCTGAGATTAAGGACCCCCACTTCTCTTACTAACGTCTAGTGGGGAAATTTTGCTTATGTAGATGTCAGGACAGACAGCCCCCTCATCAAGAAGAAAAGGTGCCAGGCTGGTTGACTGCAAGAAAAAAGTCTTAGTGATGATTCAGCAAGGAGCAATGCCTCCTTGTCTAACCAGACCTGTTCTGAACAGTGAAGGATGTATTAAGGTTTTGAGGATGGGGCCCTTCATGATAAGAAGTACTCTGGGTCCACATCCAGCAGAATAACAATTCATTAAAATATATTGCCCAGTGCCCTGATGACCAACCCACGTGGAAGGAAATCAATGCAGTGTCAATAGCAAGAGGCACCATGCCCACCGTGAACACAGGTAGTGCGGAGGCAGACCGGGCCCCCCACCCCTGCAGACCCAAAGGGCATCTCAGCCCCTTAAACATGGGAGCGAGGCATCAAAGGCCATGTGTGTGTCCAAGAAGGAGGTGAGTTCGGGGGCCCCCTGGGTGACTCAACTGGTTAAGCGTCCAATTCTTGGTTTCGGCTCAGGTCATGATCATAATCTCAGGGTCCGTGAGTTCAAGCCCTGCATCGGGTTCTGTGCTAGTAGTACGGAGTTTGCTTGGGGTTCTCTCCCTCTCTCTGCCCTTCCCCTGCTTGTGCGCGCACACTCGATAAATAAATAAATTAGAAGTAGGTGACCTTTGACAAGGGCTGAGGCTTGGCTGAGAAGCAGCGGAGAGAGCAAGTTCTGGACGTGTTAACCCATTAGGCACAGACGCTCCATCAGCCATGGAGGGAGTCAGGCTGGGGCTAGGACACGGGCTACTGAGAAGCAACAATGCAAGAGCCAGAGGAGGGGGCTAGCTAGCAGGGAGGCCACAGGGATGTGGTTCTGGGGTGAAGACAGAAGAGAAGCACTCCTTCCCATCCCACCCTTGTGCCAGATACACCCATTACTCAGAAGGATGGTCCCCATCTTAATGACAAGTCAGCTTACATCA